AGGGCCAAGAAAGTTAAAGAGGTATTGATTAGGCAGATTTAAGTTATTTAGGGCAAGATTAGTGTTTAGAATTCGACAAAGGATAAATATACTTTAATCAATGTAATAAAAAAAGGAGATTGTAATGAGACTTAAATAAAATTAAAAAAAAAAGGAAGGCAACAAACACTAGATTTTCTTGAGCTGTGAAATCTTTATAGAGCCAAACACAAGAATGTCAAACTCTTTTTTCAATGACACTTTTGGCTTCATATTTGCATTGAATTTTAAGCTTTGTTATTTCAATTGTTATAAAATTTAATGTATTGTATTTGTGGTTTTATGTTTAGACCATTAAGTTTTAGGTCTTTAGCATTATAAATACCATTTTGAAAGGGAGTCTAAGGGTTTCAAACTTTGATGAATAAAATATATGTGTATTTGAGAGTATTATTATCTTTGATAATGTAACGAATTGCATTGAATTTTAAGCTTTGTTATTTTAATTGTTATAAAATTCAATTTATTGTATTTGTGGTCTTATGTTCAGACTATTAAGTTTTAGGTTTTTGATATTATAAATATATTTTTAAAAGGGAGTGTAAGAGTTTCATACTTTGATGAATAAAATATATGCGTGTTTGAGAGTATTATTATACTTTGATTATGTAATAAACTGAATCGACTTATCAAACAACAAATGTCTTCATTGCATCACCATATATTTCTTATTCATGAATTGCTATTTGTTGGGTGGAGGCTTTAGATTCCAATAATGCTAGTATTTAAGTTCAAGGTAATCTTTGTGTCACACTTTCAAACTTGATTTTTTAGCTTTTTAAAAGTTGTATTGTTTACGTGTAGGTTACATGACCATATAATCATGTGGTCCACATCAGTTTAGTTTAGTTTCTACTAGCTATTAAGAAACTTTAAAGCCTCATGATTAGAAAAATAACACAAATAGTTTTGGATGAAAATGTTGACACCAATAGTCTAAAGCACAGAAAATGACATAAAACTCTTTTTTCATAAACTAAATATTTTCTCTATGAATCGCTGAGCTTCTTATTATAAAAAGCAATAGGCTTGCTCTTTTGTCTAAGAACAACATCGGTTCTAACATTAGACATATCACATTCAAATTTAAAAGCTTTTTTAAAAAAATCAAGTAAAGAACAAATATGAGCATTGGTCACTTTTTGCTTCATAAGTTCAAAACTTTTTTCTGCCTCATTCATCCACTTGAAACTACCTCCTTTCAAGCATTCATTGTTTAAAGCAATAATAGTGTTAAAATATTTTATGAAATGCAGATAAAAAAAGATGCTAAGACATGAAAAATCTGAAATGAAGATTTTGAGGATTTAGTCATCTTAGAATTGCTTTAATCTTCATAGAATCTATTTTCACTCTTTCATTGAAAACAACAAAAACCAAGAAAGCATGGATGCTAGTGAAAAATTCACGTCTTCAAATTAGCATAAAACCTCTTCGAAGTTTGGAATACTTCTTATAAGTGACTAAGATGCCTTTTTTTATTCTTGTTGTATACAAGAATATAATCAAAATGAACAACAATAAATGTGCTAATAAAAGGTTTAAACATATGATTCATCATTCGTATAAAAGTACTAGGTGCATTAGAAAGGCCAAATAACATAACTATCCAGTAAAAAAGGTAACCCCTCATTTTGAAGGCTATTTTTCATTTATCACCAAATATCATTCGAATCTAATCGTAGCCACTTCTAAGATCAATATTTAAAAATATGATAATACCATGAAAATAATCAAGCAAGTCATCTAGCCTAGAAATATATAATTGATAGCCAATAGCGATTTTGTTCATTGCTCGACTATCAATGCACATTCTTCATGACTATCTTTTGAACAAAAAGAGCACGCACAACATATGGACTCTTATTTTCCCTTACCATGCTTTTTGAAATTAGCCCATCAACTTGCCTTTATAACTTTATATATTTAATAGGTTGTCTTGTTTGGAAGCAGACACCTAAAATAAAATTAATACAATGATGAATATCCCTCTTTAGAGGAAGTCCATATTGAATCTCTTTAGAAGCCACATTAGAAAACTCATCAAGCAAGGGTTACACTTATGAAGCCAACTCATTCATTTCAAGCTTTCCTAAAAAACTATAAGAACATAGCTAAACCAACATCATCAACAAGTTTTTCCATTTTAGAATAAGTAACCGAAAATCCTTCCTTCCTTTTAAGAGGTTTGGAAATAAATCCAAATTTAAAAGGACCAATAATAATCTTTACACCAATTTTCATAAAAAAAAAAAAAGTGTTCTTAAAGCCATCATTATTAAAATTTTCCATTATATTGCCATAGATGACCAAGGAACAAATGACATGCATCCATATATATTACATCACACCAAATCAAAATACTTTTATCTAATGGAAAATAAAATAAGGCACCTATTTGTTATCTTTTATTCATGCTTGTTTTCCATCCATCTCAATTTATTGGTTTGAAAGTATACTACTATCTATGACTTGTTCATCATATTAGTAGATATGATATTATTACGAGCACTAATAGAAATGATCACATCATAAACTTTCTCATTTATACCATAACAAGTGTAAAAAATGTTACAGCAAACCCAATCTTCACTATTGTCTTGAACATCACTCAAAGTTTGCTAAATGGTAAGTAACTCACCTTAATCAACATAAATCACTTCATTTTATTGATTTGATTCATTTGAAAATCCATCTTTGCTAGTTATCTCTTCCCATATAATAATAATAATTCTATAATTTGGATAATCCAAAGTAATGTGTCCATACCCTTATTATTTAAGACACTTCTTTAAATTAAAGCTTGAGAAACTAGTTGTGTTACGACTAGCCCCAACACTTCCTTTCTCTAGATCTTTAAAAACAAAAGACTTTATAATTGAAGTACTATTAGATAATGAATTATTCCTCAAGTTAGAAGAGCTCTCTTTAAATGTCGATTTCTAACTAGTCTTTCAAACCTTTTTTTGCTATTTTTTCATATTCAAAGCAAGTTTTCTCACATCATTTCTAATAAGACTTTAACTAAACCATATTAGAAATTTTCTCTCTTAACCCACTCAAGTATCAAGTTATTGTTTGCTTTTAAGGCTAAACAATATTACTTTTTAGCATGAGCAATTCAAATTTCATAGTATACTTTTCTATGATCAATCTAGATTGTCTCATATTACAAAACTTGAGAAGAGTCTTTTGCTAATAGTGTTAGGGCAAGAATCTCTTCTTAAGCTCCATTTTCATCTATTTCTAAGACTTGATCTTATTTCTACCCTCACGAGCCCTTTGCTTCTTAAGATTCTCCCATTATAAGAAAGCATATATTTTTTTAATAGCCATCGATTTCACTTTTTTTTTCATCATGATACTCTTTAAAATTAAAAAAACCCTCTCAATAATTTGAAGCCAATCAATGAACTTATTAAGTTGCATTTTACCTTTAAATTTATGAATATGGACTTTCATGTTAGAATCTTGATAAGGACTTTTATTCATTATTCTTTAATGTTGAGAAGAAGAATTGTCACTAGTATGATGTTGTGTTTTATGATAAAATGATTAACACCCGCCTCATTATTGCTAGAAGAAACAATTTTAGTGTTATTCTCATCATCTCATTTTCATATTGTTTAGTGGATTTGCCTTCTCATTTCATCCATCTTAAGAGCACGAATGTCTTTTTCAAATTTTTGCACAAGACGTCCATGAACTATCATGGTAATAAATCCTAAACAATATGAAAATAACTTGATACCTAGATGGTATGCATATCACAAAGTAACAGTTTACTTATAAAAAAAATGTTTTTCACTCACCACTCCAAGGTATAAAACTAAAGAGATACAAATACAACTAACTCACCACTTTAAAGATACCGAGTTAAGGTAATAATCCACCACACAATAAAGAGATACAAAACTTAATAGAGTTCCAAAAGATCAAGTCAAAGATTTTCAATTTAAAATTTGTTTAAAGATCTCAATATATAGTTTGATTTGACATTATATACTTGGAACAACCCTCTAAATCTAAAAAAAACACTAAAAAAACTAGATAAATAATAATTATGATATATTTTTTACTTATAAGAAACTCAAACAAACACTTAGAAAGTTTAAAAATTAAAACAAACACAATTTTTTTTATAGAAAACTCAAATGCATGCATAGGTGAACAATTTAAAAATATCACATTCTAGATTTGAAAACCACATATGATAAACTTATTTTCACATATAATGGAGACATGCAAGATGAGACTTAAAGTTGGCCTGTGGGTTGAAAATAAACAACATGAAGAACTCCATCCATTTGCATTGTCAATCCAAATTCAAGCAATTCAACATCAATAAAAGCATTAAAAGACATACTTTTGTGTTAGTTTATGTGTCAAGTTTTAGGAGAGCGAAAGACTGGAAAGAGAAATGTTATTTTAGAAGAGAGACAAAAATATGGTTTAGAGTAAAATTATGCAAAACAAATATATTATATAATACGGGAAAAATTATCTTTTTTTTTAATTTAAAATGTTCTGTTTACCAAAAAAAATATAATTTTTTAAATTATAAAGAAAAAATGAAAATCATAAAAAATCAATTTAACTATCCCAATTAAAAAAAAATTAAATGTTCGTATTACAAATTATAAAAAACAAAAAAAAAAACCATTACAATCCATAATAATTTCACTCCTATACTACAATACACTCCACGGTATAGAAATGCCATCTCTTTTTTTTTTTTGTTTTTGTTAATAAAGTAAAATGTTAACCTTGCAGCTCATCACGCTTAAACATTAGATTATTATATGATGAAGAAAGTCAAAGGAATAGGATAGGAGAGACAGAGATTTGCCTTTATCGGGCTCGGTTTTCTCTATTCCTCTTATTCTTTCTTCTTATTTGGTGGATACATGTTAGAGTGCATAGATCGGGAAAAGTAAGCCTCAGTTGGTCCATCTGATCTAAGAGCCCATTAAGAACCCATTCTGTTCCTTCCGGCACTTTATTGATAGGGTTTTCGGTCTCGCAGTTCTCTCTCTTTCGCTTCAAACCCTCATCACCTGCGGCTTCACCACGTTAGTCGTTTTCTTCTCTTAGCTCTCTCTCCCTGTCTATCTCTGTTTTTTGTTGGTTTCTTATTTGTTTTGGTTCCGCAAATCAGAATGGCCGAGAAAGATAAAGGACCCGTGATTGGTCTCTCATGGCATCCAACGTTGCCGACATTATCCTCGTCTACAACCAAAACTATCAAGACCCCAGATGAGGCTGAAAGCAGTAGTGCACTCTGGAAGCCCAATTCACAGCTTGTTGACGGCTTATTTGTGCCACCCAATGATCCTATTAAGTTAAACAAGTTACGTAAAAGCCAACGCAAAGATACACTAGGCAAGGATTGGTATGTTTTCAATACTAAACTTCCTATCTTTTTTTTAGAAAAAATAACTTAGAAAATATATATGAATTGATGACTTGGTGTTTGTTTTTTTTTTTCCATGTGAATTGTTGAAATAGGTTTGATATGCCCGCCCCAACTATAACTCAAGAGTTGAAAAGGGATCTCCAGCTACTTAAGGTTCCATTCTCTATGTTTATGGATTTTGTTGTTTTGTGGAAATTTAGTGATCATGATGTGATGCCTTGATTTTTGCATGGAGTGATTCGAATAGTTGACTTTAAACAGGCATTTCATATGATTTAAAGAATGGATATTTACTTTTTTTGCTGCCATTTTGCTTGTGTTGATGATATAGCTGAGAAGTGCCATTGATCCAAAGAGACACTACAAGAGGGGCGATCCAAAGTCAAAAGATCTCCCTAAATATTTCCAGGTAATTCCTTGGTGTATGGATAAAACTAAGAGTGAAGTGTAGCGCATAGCATTTTGGGATGATATATATGTAGGGCTTTTGTTTTTCCTCGATGGTTTTTTATTTTTTCCATTGGGTCAATTGGTAAATCATTTTGTGGTATTGACAAATGATCAGGTGGGCACAGTTGTGGAGTCTGCAACAGATTTCTACTCTGGTAGGCTAACTAAGAAGGAGAGGAAAGCGACCATTGCAGATGAACTACTTTATGATCAAACTTTCCGGGCTTACAGGTGAGATGGACAGAGACTTGATCACCTTTTATTAAAAGAAACCTGATTTGATTATTAGTGAAAGATGATGACTACATCGTATTTCAATGCTGTCTCGTAATCTGTTTCTTGAAGATATCTTATTGTCAAGGGAAAGAATAAAATCACAAAGTAGTTGAAGATGCAAGATCATCAGTTTATAACATTAACACTTGGGGGTAATATTTAACCGTCAATGTCTTTGAAAGAGCATGTTACGTGATTAAATAGTACATTGGGCATCTTGTAGATTGTTTGTTTTAGATCACAGTGTGAAAGTATGGTTCAAGCATGTAATCTTGCATGTTGATGACCCAAAAATAGTAGCTATGTGAATGTTCTTGTTGCAATATCTTTATTGCGGTCATAGCTTTAACAAACTGATATTGCTGCTATATGTTAAAGACACTGATGTTTTTTATTTATTTATTTTTTATATGTACATATATCATTTTGAAGAAGCTGATTTTAAGATTATTGATAAGCAAAGGTTTCTGATAAATTGATTTTTGTCATTTTTAATGCAGCATATTGCTAATCTTGCTTGTATATTGTTGTTTGTTGTAATAACATGTTACAGGAAGCGTAAGGTTCGAGAGATTGAGGAAAAGAATCGCCCAGGTGGAAATGATAAATGGAAGATAAAGGGTAAACAATCCCGGAAACGTGCCAAGGAAAGAAGGCACTAGAATCCGTTTTACTATCATGACCCCTTTGTTTCACAATTTACGTTTTCAGAGGACTTAAAATTACACAATTTACGTTTTCAGAGGACTTAAAATAGATTGATAGTCATAGTGATTGTTGGAGCATGGCAGAATGAACAGTAATTCCAAGAAATTCACAGGAAAAGGACCGAAAGATTTGAGATATGCTCTTCCATGTGTAAAGCTACGTGAGGAAATTTTGTTTGCTACTGTTTCAAATTTTCATTAACATGTATGATCGCCAGAGCATGCAATTGCTATAAAGTTTTTTGGCTGTTGTTCTGTGGCTTTAACATGTAACAATTCAACAAAACTCATCTGAATTGCTATAAAGTTAGTCTTTTTGGTTTGAAAATCATAGATTATTCCCCTAATCAGAATTTGATTGCTAAACTTTTTATAAAATGTCCAAACTTCCCTTTTAAATTCTCAATTATTTTTTATTTGTAGAAGATAAAATTGAAAATTTTAACTAGAAATAAAGAAGTATTACAAAAAAAAGAACTGTTAAATTGTTAATAAAACCAACCGAAGTACTAGGTTACACAGACACAGACACAGATTGTTTTTTGATTTACACTTGCTCAAATTTCTTTGGAAATTTTAGAGTGCTTAGAGAATAACTAATTACATTTTATTAATTAATTATTTCTGAATATAACTTTAAAAAAGAGAATTTACAAGAGAGAAATTATAAAAGTATTGTTTATTATTTTTTAATTGATCATGTATTTTATTCTCTCATACTTATAACTATTTAAAAAAAACCATATATCTAAAAAATAACTAATAAAATATCATTAGAGCACCTTATAATTTCTTAGATCCCTCTCCATTACAACCTAAATGATACGAATATCTTAAACACGCAGTCAAACATCCCATACAGAAAGACATCAACTTCTAGAAAGCCAAGTAAATTATATTTGATAAAAATGTGACATAAAGATAACTTATATACAGGCATTAATGTTATTGAAAATGAAAACCCTCACCCAATAAATATTGATTTGTGAACAAGAAGTATAAGAATGAAGTCATGAAATCAGTTTATTCTTTGATAAGTCGTTTTCAATTCTTTAGAGAACTGATAAAAAAAAATATCTCACTAACACACATAACAAGGTGCAACAAAGAAATTTTTATTAATCTCAATTTTGTAGCCTCCCATACATTCGATTATAGCTTTATTTATACTTATTATAGACTAAAATACTATAATGAAACTCTCTTATGTGAATTTATTTAAGACCCATGTATAATTGACTCAAATAAATAATAATAAATCAAAGTCTAAGAAGAAAATAATAAAAACAATAAAAATTCAAAATTAATATCATAAATATGCTAGAATCAGATTTGTTATTCCTAAGAAGTTCAAAATAAATTCAGAGATTTATGAATGTAGAATTAATTTTGAAGTTTTCTTGTCTTGTTGTACTCGGTTTTCTTATTTTACATGGACAATTAATGAAGAAAGTTTTTTTTATATATATACCTGTCAATTTAGCTTCTTTTTAAACTAGGAGAATCATTAATTAATTCTTCCTAACTTAAAAAATTATATCTAATTATTCTTCTATTCACATGAATTAGACTCTTCTTGAACTTGAATTAGATGACTTAGAGGTTATTCTTGTGCTAGCTAAATGTCCTAAACTCTTTTAGGTTCATCTTGTTTTATATGTTTTGAACAAGTATATTCAATATCTTTTTAAATTTTTTTTTTTTTAGATTAACGTGGGTGTCCGGGCCAGCTTGCGCGCATCACGACTAATCCCACGGGCCCTGAAGTTAACGACTATGTAAACCTCTAGTGGCCATCATATGAGCAACCAAGGATTCGAACTTGAAACCACATAGGGAGCAAACCTCTTATTCAATATCTTTTTAAATTTATTTTTGTAACTCTTGTAATGAGTCCACATCTTTGACATGATTAAACTTGGTATTATGCTAACCCTCATCACTCTCTCTTCATCAATTTAACTAAAAATTCACATAGTCTCACCATTTAGATCTGATTCTGCATAGTTAATGGGCTCTTCAGCTTTCATTTTTCGTGTCCATTTTGCATTGATTTTTGATAAGCAAAGTTTTGAAAGTGGTTGCGGTGGGAAGATACCACACTATTACTGTATACGGGCTGGTGTTGGAGAGGCAGCTTTGCGTTGAATTGCATCACCTTGTTGTATGCTTTTTGGCTTTTAACTCTCAACCGGAGGCAACGCCGACCAAATCATTACTTTTATTGTCATGTAGGATTATTCATGATCATTGTGCCATTGTAAATCTTGGTGCACCTCAAGAAGTGCTACTGCTAGAAATTTAAAGAATGGTAGGAATAGCCCTTCGAAATTTCATCGAATGAATCGGATTCGTGTGGCTGCTTGCTAATGCCGCAGGGATAGTGCATAACTTGGCTTTTAACAGATGAGATGATGCCACGTTATTTTACTGGGGGCATCTGCAGATCTGGTCTTCAAAGCTGTCATGATTCTGTATCAATTTTATAGCATGATATTGTTTGGTTATTTGTTTTGAAATTGAAGAGATGAATAAAATAGAGATAAAGGAAAAAAATAAGAAAAGATAAAAATATAAAATATAATTATGTTTAATAGTGGTGTTTTAATAAAATGTTTATCTTTATATCTTATTAGTGGGTAAGATAAAAGAAACAATAAAATATATTTACTTTTAATATATATTATTATCAAATTAACATATTTTAAAAAATTAATTTTACATTATTTTTTAACTTTATTTTATATTTAAATATTTAAATTAATAATATTATAATAACTCTAATTATAAAATCACAACTGATGCTTTTTCTTAAAATCTAGCCAATCCAAGGCTTGTACTGTTTTGAGTTTGAAAAAATAATGAAATGATTTTGCCAAGGTAAGGATAAAATACAGGTCAAGCCATTGACTTTTTTAAAAAATTAATTGAAAAACAAGGTTTTTTTTATTTTTTAAATAAATTTTAAGATTATAATAATTATTATTTTTATTATTATATACATTAATTGAACAATTTTAGAAATGAGAATTTTTTACAATAATATTTTAAAAATAATAAATAATAAATATTATCTTTAACACAAGTCCCTGTATATATCCTGATTTGAAAGTATAAATATTTACTCTAAAATTATTATAGAAATAGATTTATATTTTATATCTATCTGATTAACCACATTTCTGTCTCTACTGATTACTGTGACAATAACCAAAATCTATCTAAATTTCTCCCTACTGTTTTTATCCTGTTTCACATTCTTTTCCCCTGTGAAGCAAATGGAGTTTAATTACTACTGATTTATGTGATTATTGGATTTTCAAACACAAGAAATACATTAATTAAGGACTTCCTCGGCTGGTTGATCAATATAACAACAGCACCTGCCAATAAGTATTTAAGTAAACAGGCAAGAAACAAGGGTTGAAGCAAAAAGGTCATCATCAGCCTTGCACTTCAACCACGAGTAAAACCACGAAATGTTTTCAAGTATTTTTCATTTGACAATATATAAAAATAATATTTTAAAAAAACTTATTTTTAATATCAGCCCATCAAAATAATACAAAAACACAAAAAAATAATTTCGAGCGAAAAAAATTTAAAATTTTATGTAACATGATATCTACCACAAAAACAAAAAACATAAAAACACCAAAAATACATGTGCTGTTTACTATAATGTATGCCCTAAAAACACCCACAATACATGTGCTGTTTACTATAATGTATGCTCTTGTACAAAAGGTCCCCAGAGATATTCCTATCATATTCGCACCTCAGAGCCCCGGGACAACAAACTACAACTATAGTTTCTGTTCATGAGGGCTATTTGAAGTGGTTTAGGCAAACACTAGTTTAGTTACAAGAATCTATACAACCACCATTCTCCTATTAATGGATAATAAAAGCATGAAACAATAGGTGAATGATTTATCCTAACACAACACACTGATGCATGACAATAAAGACACAACATAACACTATAGTGCCATGGCATATGATGACTTTTATTCACACATGCACACAAAAGCCATCACATCACAAGCATCCAAGCAAAATATGATGCTTTTCAACAATCGGTGCATACAAAAACATGTGAACAGATTGCCAATTAAAATTATCAAAAAGGTTAGCATGGGATACTTACGAAAAGGAAACAACTACTTTACCTACGATCTATGTATGCTAAGATTCTTTGCATGTCTTCTTATTGTGGCCAAGGCCCTTGCATTTACTACACTGAAGCTGACGCTTTATAATATCAGTTGATTCAGCCTGCTTTGTCTTTGGCCGGCCAGGTGGACGCTTGGTTGGTGGAGGGGTTACAATAACTCCCACCTCAGTTAATTCACCCTGCACTGGTCGGTCAACATTTGGAACAGGATGAATCGACTCAGCATATGATAAGCGGTAACTCTCGGTTGTGAAGTATCTGGAGCAATAATCATATGGACTTCGGCCAATGCATTCAAAGACCGCGACAGCATGGCAGCAGGGCAAACCAGTTAGTTGCCATCCCTTGCAGCTACAGTCCCAATGATCAATATCAACAACATCCACAGATTCCCCGCGAACTTCAAATGTGCTTCCATGTGAGAGTAACACTTGAAGTGACCTTGCAATTGACATTTCCTTTTCTAATTTTTCCTCCTTCGATGGGGTTAACTTAGTTTTCCATTGATTTGATTCCACCCGGCGAGTATAAATTGCTTCCATCATCTTACCTCTTAATGCATCAACCATTTGTGTTATTGGCAACTCATGTGCCTCTGATATCCAATTGTAGAACTGCTGTCCAAAGTTTGATGTCATATGATCATACCTTGCCCCTCCAAAGAATGCATTTGCCCAGTGCTCAGGCTCGCTTTGTACAACCCAATTGTAAGCTTCAGGGGATATACCTTTTATATTTTCTACAGAGCGCTGGAATCCCTCAAGTCTGGGTGCATAAGCAGCAGCATAAAAATCATTGACCATGAAACGTCTTGCTTCATGAGAAAACTGACCTTTCAAGTCTTTATTTAGTTTCTCTGCAAGACGGCGTAAGCAATAGCTGTGGTAGCATTTATCAAATATCTCAGCTAACGATTTCTTCAAACCATTTTGAAAATCTGCCACAAATGTGATCTGGCGAGATGCAGAGACTGCAGACTTCAATTCCAATAAAAACCAAAGCCAGTTGTCCTCTGTTTCAGCATCAACTACAGCAAATGCTATAGGAAAAATACCATCGTCTGCATCTGCAGCAGTAGCAGCCAACAGTGTCCCTTGGTATTTTGAGTTTAAAGGAATGCTGTCAAGGAAAATGAGAGGACGGCAACCTTGATCAAAACCAGATATTGATGCATGAAATGACACAAAGAGACGATGAAAGCTTGAGTCATCTTTTGTGGAGAATGTAGCTATACTGCCCGGATTAGTCTCCTTTATCTTCTCACAAAAGAAAGGTAACTGATTATATGCCTCTTTATAGGACCCTTGAAGCTGCTCCCTGGCAATCTCTTTTGCACGCCATGCCTGAGAATAATTCAGTTGAATTCCATACTCTCGTTTGATGTCATCTGCAATATCCTTTGGCTTGTAGTTTGGGGAAACTTTCAATTTCTCCTTTATGATACTTCCCACCCAACCCCTTGTCGAACGATAACCAGCTTTCACAGCAGCTCCTTCACATGTATGATTTGGGTTCATTTTTTTAATGCAAATTAATTGTGTGGTTGACAACCTTGACGCATATATCCTCCATGGACAACCTTGGGTTTTACATTTGACAGAAACACGGTGACTGTCATTTTTCTTATATCTGTAAGCGAACCCATGTGCAATTGAGTACTTGTGCAAAGCTTCGCGGAATTCAGTGAAGCTATTAAACCTTTGATCAACACCAGTAATCGTGTTCTCCCACTGTTGTGCAGCTTTACGTTGCTTGTCATCAATGACTCCAATAGGTATACAGGATATAGGATCTCCATTGGACAAATCCATATCAAACCCACCAACAGTATGGGCCATATCAACACCAACATCAATAGGAGCTTCGACAGGAATCACAGCTTCTGATACAGTAGTCCTGCTTGACCTGCAAAATCAGAGCATCCTGTAAGATTTCAACCCTGGCAGTATCTTCATCCTCTTAACAATCTGTTAGTATCTCGCTTCCAGGTTAGATAGCAATGCTTGACTCGTGTACATATGAAAAATTCAGAAAACAAATACCTACTAGCAGAGATGTTTGATACATTGCAAGCCACAACATCCTTCAATAAAAGGAAGACATCAACCGTGGATGAATCCCCGAGAAAATTAACCATACGCTGTAGATCCTTGTCTTTGGATATTGTAATAAGGGTCCTTCTATTCCCAGGAAGAAAGTACTTAATAGACATGATATCAGCACTACAATTGAAAAGTTCTGCTACTTCAGATTTGAAATCACTCAGCCGGGTGTGCTGATCAATGTCAATCGCGTAAGCATCACCACCATTATATGACAATGATCCATCTACATTTGTCACAAACTCCCCACCTGACTGGCATATAGCTATTATTTTCTTTGCATCCATGGCCTACCTTACCAAAAAAATCCCAAAAATTATAAACAAGAATACAGATCGATAAGCTCAAGTTCAATACAAACAAGTATTGGGATAATAATAACCAACATATTTTGCAGAGTTTATGACCAAGTCAGAAACTCTCACAACGAGAAATATTCAAGCCATGAACAAATATAGAAAGCATGAAAAACCTCTAGGAAAACAAACGTGGCTATGAATAGAAAGAAATAAAGCTCAAAGGAATTGAAAAACCCTAATAAATGTGGTAGTTAAAAGTAAAAATAGTTGAAAACTTTGAACAAGAATATTTACATCGTGAAGCCAGGCTCTGATTCTAATGTAGTTTTGCTGTCCATTTAATGACTTTCTTTTATACAGCAACTGTTTTATGATTTTGTTTTTCTCTTCTCTGACCGCACCAAAAAGCACAGAGAGAGAGAGAGAGAGAGAGATAACTGAGAGACCCGGTTGCAAAATAGGAACCTCAAAGAGGAGTGACGCATTCAAAACATACTGTTTTAATCTTAGCAGTTGTTTATGCTACTTGCGTCATTGATTTCCTCGACTTTCTCAGCCACCTACATCCTTTAAGGCAGTTTATTGGGTCATGCTGGCGTCAGACAATCAATTCTGAACTTACAAGCTAACTAAAACTAGAACTAGGGGTATTCAAAAAACCGACCAACCAATTAAACCAACAAAACTGAAGGGAAAAAATCAAAGAAACTGATTTAAAAACTAGAAAAATTATTCGGTCTGGCTCAGTTTTGGTTTCAGAAAGTTGAAAACAATTAAATGGACCAAACCGATTCAACCTAATTTAAATAAAGCAAAATCAAAAGGTATAAATACAAACTTATGCTAACCCTAAATCATTTTTTCCCTTCAATTTCGCCTCCCCTTGCCCTCTTTCTCCTGTTCTGTCTTGTGATTCAAGAATCACAACTAACCTCAAATAAGAAGAATAGCAGGCTGCCTGACTGCCTCCTACAACCTCATCTCTGTTTTTTAACACATCCTCTCTCTCTCTCTCTCTCTCTCTCTCACACACACACACACACACACACATTCCACCCTTGAACCTTCAGACACGTCTCCTACTTCACCTCCATTTCTGCCACATTTCAGAGCATTGCGCAAGCCAACCCACACCTCTCCTTATATATACTCATTACACACCTCTTTGTTCACATATCTCTCTCTCTCTCTCTCTCTCTCTTGCTTCCTTAACAATGGTTGAGCCTGCAACTGATACAAAAACAGCAGCAAAGGTTGTGCCTTTATTGAAAGATGGGCTTCATTTCCTATACCGACTATAAGGAACTTGGATTTCTTGGAGATGTGGAGGCCATTCTTTGAGCCATACCATCTTATCAGTGTTCAAGATGGTGATCCATCTAAGACTATCAAGGTCCCTGATGGTTTTCAAAGCAAAAAAACCAACCCAAACCAGTTTGGTCCGGGTCTAAATTTCCAGAAATTAAAAATTCCAGTTCGGTTAGATTTTTTAGTCCAAACCAAACTGAACCGGACCATGAACACCCCTAACTAGGATTGTCTGTGCCTTTTTTAAGAGAGAGGGAGAAATTATCACCCTGGCCCACCAGAAATTAAGCAAATTTTGGCTGTCAAAACATTCTGCGTGTATTCATTTCTTGTCTTTGCAAAATTCCGAGTTGCCCATCTCTTTCTCTCTCTTGCGATTCTCTAGTTTGGGAGTCGAAGGAAAAGGATAATGAAGCATAATAGAAATACGAGTTGGGATTTGATTCCCATAAGGAAGAAGGTGAATCTTATAGGAGTTGTTTTGGACTTCTCTTTTCCCAGTATGAGCAAAGGCACTGGTATGATTCTCATAAAGTTTTCATTTTTCCCCTCTTTTTTCCCTGTCATCTTTAAAAGGGGTTTTGTTTTTGCTTGGCATGGATTGTAAAGTTGTTATACAGATTATGTGTGTTGAAGATACAGGATCAGTCACAACAAAGTCTGACATTATAAATTCACAATTTCACTGGAAAACGTTATCAACTTCCAGTTATAACCTCTTACAAAGTTGACTGTCCTCCATAATCTATCAAGGTGCTTTCATCTTTTTTTCTCGTATATTTTCCCTCCCAGAGTTTTATTTCTCTATTCTTGTACCTTTTTTGATGGTGGCAAATCTTCTTGGCTTTTTATCAGTGGGTTTTGTTGACTTTGTTTGAAGAAATGATTCTATTTTACATTTTTTTCTATAGGTGAAAGGCTTTGCACATGTCCTTTGAAGTTTCTGAAGGTCTTTGGATGCTCTTTGTATGGGATGGAACTGATATCCCTCCTTGAAGCTTAATGGAAAGAAATGTCAGTTAATTGATTCATCACATTTTAGGGTTAATCGTTCAAATATGGTAGCTTAAACTATGAGGCTCCTTTAAGCTTTAATGGAGAACAGGTGTTTGTTAATATAATCATCACTTTTCAATTTTAATTTTTCAAATATGGTAAGCTGAAACCATGGGGCATAAGCTAGGGAAAAAACTACAAAAATCTGTGTTTTTACCCTTTGTTGGAGGCAATTGAAGTCTTTTTCTTGTCATTTCTATAATTAACAAAGAAGTATATCATGTAACGATTGTTACAAATGTTTAGCATTTGAACTATATTATTATATTGGGAATTATTCAAGGGTTTAGATTTCAGTTTACCTCTCTTCTTTGAATACACTGGAATCTTATATGCGTTGTACTTCAACATTAGACTTTAGCAAAATTTACTTTCTCCTCTTTCTATTGGCATTATAAATTTGTGTTATAACTATTTAACAATCGATGTTGTACATATCTATTTTGTTGTGTTGATGACATCCTCAAAATAAAATTCAACTTACAGCATATATGTACCCTAACATGGTGCCCAACAAACATGCATGTATGGATATACAAATCCCAGTTCATGCATAAGCATGTAAATGATTGTGTCAAATTTTTCTTTTACAGATTGAAAGATGTGAATGACAAAACCCTCTTCCCCTACAAATTGAATCAATTCGTCTTGAACAAGATATCGTTTGTAGGTTTCATCATGTCCGTACAGTTCTAAGAGTATTCATTGATAAAAGCCATGGGCACCTTTGGTTACACTCCAAGGTAATGAATTGTCTAGTGTTGGCAAGCTTGTGGTACAGTTACCTCAACTCTTCTTCAAAGGTATGATTTCTTGCTGATCGTGACAAAATTGTCATAGATTATACAAATTAATTTTACTTCTTTCCTGACAAATAATTCATAAAAGAATTTTGATTTTTTTAGTGGAAAATCAATGGATCTTGACTATTTGTTTGTTTTATTATAATATTCAAAGAGAGAATGTCTACACTTGATCGGTCACCTATTTGGGATACTCCTTGTAGCATAACTGGTATCTTTTTTAGCCTTTACTACATTGGTGACACGAGCGATGCCAATGCCGCGGGTCGGACCAAAAAGATTTTTAACCCAAAAAAAGTAAGAGACAATTTTGCTTCTAACAAAATAAAAAAATTCAGTAACTGGGTTAAATCTCGATTAATTTAATAGCACTGTAAAAAAAATAAGGCAACAACAACAAATCAAAAAAAAAAAAAACATATTGCCTTGGGGAAAGCTGAAATCAAGACATGTCTATCATGCGTTCTAGATGATGAAATCAGGATAATTCAATAAGGAAAAAAATTGACAATAAATAAAAACAAAACTAGAAAAATTGAGAGACAAATGTAGATCAAGATATATAATATTACAACATAAATCATATACTTGGTTGTGTTTAATGAATTTGTTTATTAAAATCAATTTGTAACAAAAATCGATCCACATAAAATTAATTGAATACAATAAAAGAAAAAAAATATTTTACAAGGCTGCATATATTTAATCTATATAAAATATTAAAAAAATTATAGTTGAGTCATAATAACCTTCTCAAAAATTACATTCACCCAATATAATTAAAAAATTATTGCCATTTAAAAAATTGCTAAATAAGCAAAAAAAAATCATTAAGTTGTATTAATTAAAACATAAACTTAAAACTTATGTAAAAAAACAAAAAAAAAGTTACTAATTGGAAAAAATTAAAATAGAAAAAAAAAAAGAATAAGACCAAGCACCTGGCTCATCAAGAAATGGCATGTGCACAGGCCTTTTATTGTTTTTTAGGTTAATGGAGGGACCTTTTATTTTTTTTAAGTTAAAGGAGAGACCAACATGTCATCTGCCTCAATTTCTTTAAAAAATATAGACGACATGTCATCAGGATTCCTAGATCCCAGCCATTGTGATGGTCGGAAAAATAGGGTTCAATTGTTTTCACCCAAAAACTAATTTTCAACCCATTTTTTACCAAAAAACACTTAGAAAACACCATAAAAACCTTGTTAAACCAATCTATGGCCTCAAAAAACATAAAAAAAAGGGCTCGAAACCCAAAATCAACCTAAAACAAAAAATCTTCTTGAGCTATGATCTATTTTTTAGGCACTTTCAAGGTAAAAAAAAAAACAAAAACTCATAGTTCGAACTCCTCTTATTATGTGGAACCATTTGGCATAAACATTTACCGTTTTAGTGGCCAAAATCATCGCCAACAATAATTCTCTCTCTACACTGAAATCTGGTGAGTAGCTCTCTCCTACAACCCAGAATTGAATTTTTTAACATTAAAGGGATTGGTCACCTTAGAGCCAAAAAAGATGGTGGACAAAAATGAACTTTTAAGACAAATTTCAAAGCCGCCTATTTTACCTGCTTTTTTCACTTCAATCCTCTATCTTTCAATTCAACTCTCTCCCAAAAAAAGAACCAATTGAATGCTAATTTGGGCTCAAAATGGCTAAATTGTGTGAAATAAGAACCAAATTGAAAATGTAAAAAGAAAAATCATTACTCCAATCCATAGTGATCAGTAAAATAATGAATAGTATTTGTGCTATAGTAAAAAAAGAAGCTCTTCTAGTATATAATTAATATATTAGTTTACCTTTGGATTGAGTTTGTTAATGACTTTATGACAATGAATTGCATCCATTACTTATTCTTGTTCCTCCTTCTTCCCCCATCTCTTAGAGCAATTGATCGCAACAACATGCAATGTCAACTCTTATAAAAAGGTTTTTTTAAGCAATTTTTTTTATATTTAATTTTTTTCATGTTCACTTATTTCTAGTTTTTATTTAACTTCTAATGTTTTATTTATGGATTCTTGTTCGAAGAAGCTAAATTTGAAATTGAGTAGTTTTTTCTTATAAAAAATATTGATGAATGGTTTGGTTTTTGTATTTAGTCACTTAGATCAAAAGCAGGTTTTGAAATCTTGCAGAAAGACTTTTCCTATAGTATCATTTGTGTGGTAGCAATGAGCACTATCCAAGAGGACTTCATTTCAAATGATGAGATGACACTAACATTAGAGGACCTAACAGAAAGAATGTTGCATGCCAATTTATGTTGTGATGAACAGGTATGTACTCTAGTTGAATGATGCCTTTGCATGAAACTCACATTTAAAGTAGAAAATGGTCTTTTGTTGAATTGTGATGTTTTGATTTGATGGCAAAATGATTTCAGTGCGAGTATTTTGGAGATCAAAGTCCTATAGTGCTCACACTTGGAGTGCTTTAACATAGAAGTTAGGAAGATATCAATGATCTTATACGGTTTCCTCCACTGGTTCAGCATTGCATATATTAGCAAAAGATAATGATTCTGGGATTTGGTTTATTATATCTCTTCCTCAAGGCACGTCCTTGTTTGCTTGGGTATGAATAGTTGTTTCTAGTTACTTAAGAGTGAGTCTTTTGTACATGGAGTGGAAGTTTGATCTTTGGAGACCACAGTCCTATAGTGCTCATACTTGGAGTGCTTTACCATAGAAGTTTGGAAGAAGATGTCAATGATTTTATAATGTTCCCTCCACTGGTTCAGCATTGCATAATATTAGCAAAAGATAATGATTCTGGGATTGGGCTTATTATATCTCTTCCTCAAGGCGCATCCTTTTGGGTTTGGGATGAATAGTGGTTTCCAGTTACTTAACGAGCGAGTCTTTTGTCCATGGAGTGGAGGTTTGGGATTTGTAGATGAGGTCCTGTTTTTGTATGTAAAGGCCTGTTGAGGTATTTCATCAGATTCTCAGCAGCATAGTTGTGATTGATTTGCAAAAGAGGTTTGTATTGTGAATCACTGGATGTTTTGTTGTTAGGTATGTGCTCGCTGTGGAAAATATTGCTAACTCAGCAGTGCTTGAGTTTTTTAGTTATTAAGTATCTTGCTTAGTTGCATTAGATTTTTCTACTAGGCTTCTTTAATGACTTTCCTAGTGGTACTAGCATAGCAAGGTGAAAAACAATTCAAGAATCAAAATATTGAATTCAAGCATCTTGACGTAAGAACTTAATTTTAACATGGATTCGACAAAAAAAATAAACCAAAGGCAAATCACGCACTAAGAACACGTCAAATAAAATCACAACATGCATATAATTTTAAAATTAGGTTTCAAAACTAAAAGCAATAAACATGCACACAATTTTGAATTCAACAATCACATAAAAAAATCCCAACACGGCATGTTTTCAAAGCAATTCAATAAATTTCACACCGAGACCAACCATTACGTCTCAAAACAACGCTATAATCAACTCATCCCGTCCTCCCAATCCCGAAAGAGTATTGAGCACCAACCTAACCTAACACTTCAAATCAACCACAAAAAAGTAAGTGTATGAAAAGAGAAAGAGAAGGACGAAAATACCCTCGAAACCTGGATTAAAGCTCTGGCCAACTGCCACCGTCGGCGGTGAGCTCCGGCGAGGGATCCGGCGCGTTAGATTATGGATCGTGATCTTCTCTACCTCGTCGAACCGAAGATGAAGGTGCAGTGCACCACCAGCCGATAAGGGTGGCAGGGTCAATCTTTATCGGCCTTTCTCCTTCTTCTTCATCACGAGGCTGTCGCCATTGATGGTGGGGTTGTTGAAAAGGCTCGTGGTTTTGTTGGCCTGGTGAGCTAGTGGTTCTGTGTTCGGCGTGACTGTGGTGGCTGGCGTTGAAAGAGGTGGTCTCCAATGAGAATTTGGGTTGAAATGGGCTGTCGGTAGCTTAAGGGCTGTTGAGGTTTGCTGCTATCGATGGGGTTGCTGCTGGCGAGGGCTCACGGGAGAGAGGGATTGTCGTTTCTCGTGGCAAGGGAAAAAGGGGCTGCTGGTTTGGAGGCTCGGGTGGAGATAGAGGGTTTGGGTGGTTGGCGTTGTGGTAGTCAGTGGCTAGCGAAGATAGAGGATGAAGATGGGTGGCTGCGTGAGTAGTGGTGTTGTTTTCGGGCCTGGGTCGCTGGACTGGTAAGAGAGAGAGGTGTGTTCGATGTGTGCACGCTGCTGTGCTTATTTTTGTTTTTTTTTTAATCAAATGAAATAAATGATGCAGTGCCAGTGTCAGTGATGTCGGGGAAATTTTTTTGCCAATGTCATTAGAGATGGTTGATATTTCCAATTGTAAATAAAAAAAATATTTAGTTGGTTGGTAAAAACAACTTATATTATAAAGTAAAAAAATAATTTTCTCATGTTAATTTTTATTGAATATATTTTTAAAAAAACTACAAATAAAATTATTTTTTTTAAATCATATTTTTTTATATCACATCCACAAAAATTATCATGGTGTCAAATATACATAAATTTAACAAATTAACATAATTACTAATTAATTTAATTTTTAGACTGGGTTGGATTTTAAAGTAAATTAAGCGAGAATTAACCTAATATGATTTAGTATTTAAAAGGTATAGTCATTATTTAATTGCTCTTATTTAAATTCGATTTGATTTTTTAAAATAAAAAATAAAAAAACCATATCAATTCAATGTTTTTCATATAAAAAAAATTATTGAAATGACAATGTTTTGAATCATTTCTAATTAAATTAGTTTCACCCACCTAACTTGTGACTAAGCCATAATCTTAGCCGGATTTAATAATTTTATTTTTTAAAATTATTTTTTATTTAATTAAATAATTATAAAAAATAGACATTTTCATTAAAGAAAAAAAATTAACTAAAAAAAATGTAATAGGTCAATCTAAACTTTATTCATCATTAATGTACCTATTTATTATTTTAATGAAAGTAAGTTTTTTGATCGCAAATATTATTTTTTAAATAAAACTAATTATGATCTTAAAAAAAAATTAAAAACAAATATATCAAACACTATTTCAATATTTTTGTATGTAATTGAAAGGAAAAAATAATAAATATGATAAAATCATGTAAACATACAAAAATTAAAAATATGATGAATCCTCATTAACCCTTTTTCACCATTTGAAGAAATATCATCTTAAAGTTTTTTCACTTTGGTGATATACCTCACCAATGATCAAGAGTTTTTTCATTTAAACTCTTGAAGAATTATAATTGTTTGAAATATAATAATATTCTAGAAGAATAAATAATATAATTGAAAGTTATAGTCTTTCTATATCTCACAAGATAACATTTAAGAGATTGAGAAGTGTCTAAGTGTTATGAGAATAAAAACTATCAAGTTTTAGTGCACAAATATGAGTATAATTTAATATTAATGATTTTGAAGTGTTTTTGCTTTAAAGATAGTTTGTATATGATATATGTTTTTATTCTCTATATAATTATATAATTAGACAAGCTCTTTGTGTGTGTGTTTTTCTAGCAAAACTAGTTGTTTTATAGCCGTTATTAATCATTTGAAAGATAAAATGGTCAACCAGATCATATTAGTCAAGACAATAGGTTGAGTGGTTCCTGCAGATTCCCGAGTGTTCATCTTAGATGAATAAGCAAGTGATCAGTTAATCTGGTATAGTCAAACGATCGACTATTTCAACTTAAAACCCAGCCTTGATAGTTTGAAATCTGCTGAATCTTGAACCAACTAAATGCATATCAATCCTATAATGCATGCAATGTGAAGTGTGTGTGATTATATTTTAATTTGTGTTATTAAGTAAGATATAAAGATTTATACATTTTGCACTAAAATGAATCTTTAAAAACTAAATCTTCACTTATTTTACATCCTGGACTTGTTGATTGATATAACATTCTCAATTATTATCAAGAGGATACATAAGCAATATATATATATATATATATAAAGCAAATGTATAATTAAAATTTCACAAAACTTTTTGATGAAATTTTGATAGAGTTTCATATTTTAACAAAATTTTATTTGCTTAATCTAATCATCTTGGATTATTTCCCTCACTAATGAATGTTTCTCAAAACAATTTTATCCATTCAAATATATCCAGCAAATTATATACACCATGTCTTTATAAAATTGATACTAAATACAACATACATAAGTGTTAAAATGCATTGAGGCTAGATAATTACAATCCATAAAATATAAGCATTTATGTTTTACATGCTAAGCAAAATAATAATTTAATACAGCTAGATTATATTTAGATTCTTCCTTTACCATTCTCCTTTATTATATATATATGTATCATTAGTTTTTTAATTCCAGGAGCGACAAGTCAAATCTCAAATAATATCGATATTAATAAATTCTATTAATATTATTAGTCTTCAATTTCGAGAACGACTAATCAAATCTCAATTAATATTAATATCTTATTAGTACTTAAAAGTGTGTTTTTATCAAGGTTTTATATCATTATTTTGCACTTGAAGTATCACTAACTCCTTAACTAAAGCATGTTTTATAAAAACATATCTAATAATATAAGATACCTTTAATTTATGGTAAATGCTCATTTTAAATGCAGGTCTATCACATAAATGAAAGGATTGATTGATGAGTTTAAGAACTGAAATTGAAAGGACAAAGAGATGACCAAACTTAGAAAAAAGATGTTGGTGCAGTCCAAACCGGAACACTATTTGGTAATTGGGTCATATCTAGAGCTGTAGATCTCAAATTTAGGTCTACTTTATATGGATAGAAAGCTCAGACATAGGTCTCCCACTCTCATGGAAGCCTAAAATTTAAAAAGATCATTTTCAAGTCCAAATTGTAGCAATAATAAAAAAGTTCAAATCTATCCTGCAGCCCGAACATTATTCAGTGTTTGGCCCATATCTAGAGTTTTAGAAGTTCAAATGCCCTCCATTTTTTTCTGGAAAGCTGAGATAATTTCCTAGAACTTTTATATTCTCAAATGGTTCTAATTCTAACGTTATCAATGATGTTTTGGGCAAACAAAGA